TCTGAAGACACTCACTCTCTGAGGGTTTCCAACATTTCTCTTTGCAGACCAGGGAGCAAAGATACTGGCTTAGGGGCTTAATCCCTGTGTCTAGCAAGAAGAGGGGAAGTTGTACTTCTTTCCAGGGGCCTTTGACCGCTAAATGACCCATGCTGCCACAACAGGGGGATGGTTCCAACCCCTGAAAGTCTGAGAAGGCTACAGGTGTCACTGGATGGTTTCACCATCCTGGGACCCACCTCAACCATTCCTTCCCACAGAAACCACAACAAAGGCTCTTGCCCACAGCTACTCCCTCTCCCTCTGCCTCCAGATCAACCCGGGGTGTGTCCTACCCCCTCCTCTTGGGAACTGTGAGTAGTAAACCATTTTTTTCAAAGGCCAGTGTCTCCTAATCTGTTGACTTTAATATACCTCAAATTTTCTATTAATACACAGTTTTTGTTTGTTTGTTTTTTGTTTTTTTTAACAGCTAGGAAACCTCTTATCCCCCTAAATGTCAGGGGTTCAACTTCAAGAGGGTGAGGCTTACCTGCTTTATTCCAGGATTTCCATGTGCACCCTGGTGCCTAACTCTGACTTCTATTGGATTTTTCCAGGTAGGTGGCCATGGTTTCTTTCTTTCTTTCTTTCTTTCTTTCTTTCTTTCTTTCTTTCTTTCTTTCTTTCTTTCTTTCTTTCTTTCTTTCTTTCTTCTTTCTTTCTTTCTTTCTTTCTTTCTTTCTTTCTTCTTTCTTTCTTTCTTCTTTCTTTCTTCTCTTTCTTTCTTCCTTTCTTTTCTTTCTTTTTCTTCCCCTTCCTCAGCCCTGATTAACTGACAAACGTGAGAACTTAGCCCATTTGGTTTGTGATGAAATCCAGGATTAATTAGCCATTCTCAGTGCTTAATTCTCCCGGACTGACCTGACCCAGTCACTTCTGATTTTCCAAGCTAGACTCTTGCATCGTCCTGGTGGAGGGAACACGTTAGCACGTTATGAATACAAAGATGAAGCAGTCTTGCCTTTTTATTTTACCCAACTTCCTTTGCCATTCTACAAAAACTTCTTAATTTCTTATAAAATTATATGTCCTTTGAGATCAGGTTAAAAGTCAACTTTAAGCTGCTAATTTCATAAAGGCATCTTTTAGATTGGTGACCAACTCTTATTTGTGAGTATATTCTGTGTTTCTATCATCGGTATATTTTCCTGGACCTCTCCTGGTTTTAGCACTGAAAGTCCAGCACCCTAGGCCTGGGAAAAACAGTATGGTTGGCCATCTGACTTTTACATATCCTCAACTTCATGAACTTACTTAATGCTAAAAGCAGACTTTCCAAACCATACATTTGCCTTAAAATAGTGATTTCAACTCTGGTGAAGTCTCCACGTATGCCTTTGTCTTTCTGGTGGTTGTCCCAATCTGTAATGGTCTGTATCTGATCCACTTGTGTCTGGAGTGCTATAAATCCAATTAATATGGCAGTGAAGTCACATTCTTGGATTGGGCCTACAGTGATTCTTTTAATCCCAGATATAGCTGAGCACCATATCTTAGATCCAAAATCTAATACAGTAAGCCTTAAAAAATATGACTCATATAAGCCTAGAAGTTCACATGACCCCCATTCTCAGTAAAGATGTCATATTTAAAAAGCAATTCAAGTTTTATGTACATTATAAACACTAACATATTGCTCATTTTATCCTTATTATAATAGCATTAAATATCACAAAGTGGAAAGAATTATGGGTGAGTTATGGGTACTGTGGAGTTCTGCTAAGTGGTTCTGTACCCTGGTGAAGATAGTAAAGAGGGTATCTACCTCTGTTTCCTCCAGCTTGAGGTCTCTGTTAGAGTCAGAAGGCTCCTTAAAAATCAGTCAGCATTGCTCTCCTTCAATAGTTTTCTACAGTGTATGTGGTTAATAAATTCTGGGTGATTAAATGGCCTTGTTAAGCTCAATTTCTCAGAGTCATTGTCTACTAAATATTTCATTTTCCATTAAAGTTATGAGCATCTGAATCCTAAGATTTGTATAGAATATAGATGATAGACTAAAATTTTGGTGATAGAAAGCTCTTGATGATTCTGTAAGAACTTTTCCATATGATCACTCTCTTTCATGGTTATCTGGGCTCAGCAGAATGGCAACAACACATTTAAAGACAGGCTCTATTTTGACACTGTGCATTCTGTGCTGTCCATCAGGGACCCCTACTTCACCTTGTGATTTTTTACACAAAAAATGTCAGTGATGCAAGAAGGAGGGTGGCAGCCTAAGGAGGAGGGTGGGTAAGATCACTGAGTAGTGTGTACCTCAAGGGAGGAAACCAGTGCTTAAAGGAAAGTAAGTATTGGCCTGAAGGGGACAATGAGAAGGGACAGAAAGCTGGTAGTCCCTCTGAGCTCATGGAACTGGGGAATAAGTATAGAAGAATTAGCAGAACTTGCTCCAGAGGGCTGCAAGGGAAGCAGTTCCCTCAGGGGGAGCAAGGAGATAGAGCAACCTTCAGAGAGGAAGTTGTGAAGAGACCTGAGGACAAAGGGGGTTTTGATTACAGGGTGAGGAAGATGTGAGCGGGCTCACTGCAGAGGAAGCTTTGAAGAAGAGCCAGCGTTGGAAGGAAGAGCAGTGAGGTGATGAAGATCTTGTGGATATCATCACTGTGAGACAGGCTTGATGTTTGTCAGGACTACCAGACCTTCACCACCACCTCTGGCCCCAGAGGACTCTTGTGTTCCTGAAGTGGGAGCCTGCATCCTCCTCTGCACACACAACACGGAGCCCCTGCTACTACTACCCACGCTGAGAATCTGACGATGGGCTCTTCTTTCAGGCCTGAAGGCACTGGCAAGTAGGGAGCTTGCCCTCAGAAGACCAAATTTTCCACCTAAGGCAGCTAATGTACACTATGTGCTGTGCCTGAGAGTCCCTTGCACCCTGCTACACCCACAGAACTACCCCCTGCCAAAAGAACACAGCAGCTGAGATAAGCAGTTTTGGAATTTGTAGGGCCTAACACTTAACAACTGCTAGAACCTTCAACAGGTAAGGTATTGGCTATTCTAACTCTGTTTCTTCATCTTTAACATGGGAATAATAATAGCTCATTATAGCAGTACATGGCCTCTTTGATTGAGAGCCTAATTTGGATCTTTTTCAAAAGAAAAGTTCTGGGGTTTTTGGGTTTTTTTTAGATATATATTTTTTTTTTATCAGAGAGAGAGAGAGAGAGCCAAACAGGGAGAGCAGCAGGCAGAGGGAGAAGCAGGCTCCCCACTAAGCAAGGAGCCTGATGTGGGACTTGATCCCAGGATTCTGGGATCATGACCTGAGCTGAAGGCAGATGCTTAACTGACTGAGCCACCCAGGCAACCCTCAAAAGAAAAGTTTGGGTAGAATAGTTTGAGATCTCTTTTCAAAAAGAAAAGTTTGGATGTAAGGAAGATGGTGAAGTAGGAAGCATCCAGAGTCCCTCTTTCCATGTAGACAACAATTGCACTGGCAGAAATTTCTCTGATGTAGCTATTTTATACCCAGGGAATCTACTGAAGGCTTGCAACATCTAGAAGAAGGCTTAAATGGTAAGTTGTAGTTAATTTTGGTCAACTTCAACTCTTAACACGGTAGCATCCCCCACCCACCAGACCCCTGGCAGGCAGCCATGCATATGTTCCTGAAGCAGCTTGCACACAGTTTGCAAAAGCTAGGATGGGTGAGAAGGACCTTGTCCTCTAAATAATAGGGATCTGTCTCTGATCACTGATTGCTGCTTCTGATTGCAGAGATGTAGACACAGAGATAGGCAACATTGTTGTAGTTTTCATTGCCATTTTTATAAACCCTGACTTCTCCAGCCAAAGTGCTTTCAGGGGGATTTAAACAGTTGGCCCCTGTTTTGGGAGACTTTTTTCCCTTCATGCTCCCCTTTTTTTCCTTTTGGGGGCTAGACATTTAAGGACTAGGACATTCAAAAGCAACTGCATACACATTTAAAAATATGAATACATATACATTTACACACTTGAATTTAAAAAGTCACAGCATGTACCCAGGGAAGGGCACAGGCTCAGAAAAGACCTGAGAAGACCTTAGGTTTATATCTCAGGCTGATTTCTATAAAAACAAAACCAAAAACCAGCAAGGGGAGAATCTGCATTCCACACTTAACACATGATAAGATTCAAATGTCCAGTGTTCAACAAAAAGAATCAAAGGCATATAAAGAAACAGGAAACTATGACACATTCAAAGGAAAAAAAATAGAGAACAGACACCATCCCTGAGAAAGACCAGATGGCAGATTTATTAGACAAAGACCTTAAAACAACTGTCTTGAAGATGGTCAAAGAGCTAAAAGAAGCTTTAGACAGAGTCAAGAAAAATGATGTATGAACAAGATGTAAATGTCAATAAAAAGATAGAAAACATAAAAAAGAGATCACAAGCTGAAAACTACAAAAACTGAAATGAAAAATTCATGAAAGAGAATCAGAACAGCTTTAAGTAGGTGGAAGAAATGGTGAACTTGAAGACAGGATCATCAACATTCTCAAGTCCAAGAAACAAAAAAGAAAAAAAGGCTAAAGTCAACTGAGGGCACCTGGGTGGCTCAGTTGGTTAAGTGACTGCCTTCGGCTCAGGTCATGATCCTCTGTAGCCTTGTGTAAGTGTCATGCTTCTCCCTCTGACCTCCCCTCTCTCATTCTCTCTCTCAAATAAATAAATAAAATCTTTAAAAAAAAAAAGAAAAGAAAAGTCAACTGAGACTATAGGACCTGTGAGATGCAATCAAGTGGACCAGCATACATATTGTAGGAGTCTCAGAAGGAGGAGAGAGAGAAGAGGGCAAAGAGATTATTTGAAGAAACAATGATTGAAAACTTCCCAAATTCGATTAAAGCCATGGAAATAAATATCCAAGAAGCTCAATGAACCGCAGTAGGATAAACTCAAAGAAACCCACACCAAGAGGCATTATAATCAAACTATCAAGACAGAAAATCCTGCAAGCTTGCTTTAGCAGCACATATACTAAAATAGGAACAATGCAGAGAGGAGTAACATGACCCCTGTGTAAGGATGAGAGAATCTTGAAAGTAGCAAGAGAGAAGTGACTCATCACATACTAGGGATCAATAGTTGCAGAAAAAATGGTGATGGAGAACACAGCTTCCCCGTTATCCCACGAGTGATTGGACAGCTATCTACAAACAAAAACAGCTCTGGGAGACCTCTAGAGTCCACTTAGAAAGTTTAGCAACACAGTGTAACAAAAATAACTGAGAATAATCAAGAATTGCATTTGCTTGTATCATCCCATACCCCAAACTGGCATTGTGGAGCATCAAGAAGGAACTTGCCAGCTAGAAAGAGTTCCTTTCACCAGGAAAGAAGAGCAGGATGAGCAACAAGTTTTTCCAGCCTCTTGGGGCACTGGGCAAGTGACCTGCTTCAGTTCCACCCCAACCAGACTAGCAAAACTGAAACACACAGAGCTAGCTAGGAACAAGGAAGAAAGGCAGTGGCTTGATTAGCAGACATGCAGTGAGAGCAGATGCAGTTTACAGAGATCTGATCTGCAGACAAACTCAGCAAACTTTGCTACTGACAAAGCCAATGACCAGCACAGCAGCCACAGACACCCTGCAGATTTTGCCAGATTTTACCCCATAGGTAAACACATTTGTTCATTGACACTTAGTTGCTTAATTTCCTCCTCATTCTCTCCCATCCTGACCCTGCCAGAGACAGCCATTTGACAGCCATCCAAGGTCTCCGTGTCTGCAGCTGTGCAAGTGTAAGATACCTGAATCCCTCCTCACCTCTGCCAGGGCCCTGGAGCCATGCCTGCAGCCAGCTTGGGCCTCTGCAGCTGCATGAGCACAAGACCCTAGCCTAGAACCCTCTCCCTGCTGACCCCCCTCCTGTGCCTTGCTTTGCCCATGGAGGTTAGCCCCTCTAGGTGTGTATCTACATACCACCAGGCTGAGGCCTATCATCTGCTCCACAAGAGTATGCATGCCCTGGGGGTGGGAATCGGGGGAGAGTGTAAAGCCACAGGTGAGCATGCCAACAGCCAGAGCCCTCCCCCCATCCAATTGCTTGTGGGTCTGCATCAGACCCTGCCTTCTGTCACTGGCCAACAGCACTGTGCCCAGCAGCTAGCCCCTTCCACTGTGTACTGGCATGTCCCTTGGGTGATTCCTGTCACTGACCTCCACTACAGTATGCATGCCTGGGAGGAGGATATGCAGCCACAGGAGAGCAGCCTGATAATCAGGGCCAGTTTCTGGTGAGCTCATAGTTGGCCCCAGCCCTTGGTATCTGCCTTGGCCCCATCACTATGTGTGTGTCTGTAACACCCCTGCCACTACATAGGCATCTGCAGCTGACCCCCACAGCTGAGTGTGTGCACACTTATGGTTCTGGCCACCACCACTGCCTGCTGAAGTTCCTGGTACCTAGGAGTGCTGCTGAAGACTCCAAAAGCTATTGTAGCCACGGCAGACCCTTTGAAGTTCTCACCAAGGACCATACAGTTGTTAATGTTGTGGGCCCCAGTGACTTGAGCCAAAGAGACATCATGCCCCCTCAGACCCAGTGCTGCCTTGTGTTCCCAAACTTGGCACCATACACCATTAAACCCAGGGTCACAGCACAGTCCAGCATGCCCCCATCCACAGGTGAAAGCTTCTCTTCCTGAAATCAATCTATAAAGTCTAGAAGAGGTAACTGCTTCAGACATCTACACAAGGCTACAGGGATCATGAAGAATCAAGGAACATGTCTCCACCAAAGGAATACAGTAAACTTCCATTAATTGTCACCAAAGAAACGGAGATGTGGGAATTGCTGAACAAAGAATTCAAAAAATCTCTTGATGCTCAGAGAACTACAAGAAAACATAGATAAATGATTTAACAATATCAGGAAGACAAAACAAGAACAAAATAAGAAGTTCAACAAAGAGATAGAAAACATTAAAAAGAACCAAATGTTGGAGTTGAAGAATGCAATGACCATACACACCTCAACATAAGAAGGACTATCTATGACAAGCCCACAGCTGAGAGCATCCTCGATGGGGAACATCTGAGAGCTTTTTTTCTAAGATAAGAAATGAGACAACGATGCTTACTCTCACCACTCTTATTCAACATAGTACTGGAAGTCCTAGCCAGAGCAATCAGGCAAGAAAAAGAAATAAAAGCCATCCAAACAGGAAAGAAAGAGATAAAACTATCTTTGTTGTAAATGATATGATATTATATAGAGAAAATCCTAAAGACACCACAAAAAAACTGCTAAAATGAATCAATAAATTCAGTAAAGTTTCAGTATAAAAAATCAACATACTGGGGTGCCTGGGTGGCTCAGTCATTAAGCATCTGCCTTCGGCTCAGGTCATGATCCCAGCGTCCTGGGATCGAGTCCCAAGTTGTGCTACCTGCTCAGCGGGGAGTCTGCTTCTCCCTCTCCCACTCCCCCTGCTTGTGTTCCTGCTCTCACTATCTCTCTCTCTGTCAAATAAATAAATAAAATCTTAAAATAAATAAATAATAAATAAATAAATAATCAATATACTAAAAACAGTTGTATTTCTTATATGAACTCTACCTCTGAAAATAATAATACACTATATGTTAATTAATTGAATTTAAATAAAATAAAATAAAAATTAAAAAAATAAAGTGAGATTGTACAACTCTGTAGCTTGTGATAACAAAAAAAAATTTTTTTAAGTTGCATTTCTATACACTAACAACAAACCATATGGAAAAGAAATAAAGAAAACAATCTCATTAACAATAACATCAAAAACAATAGCATACTTAGGAAAAAAATTAACTGAGGAGGTAAAAGATCTATACCCTGAAAACTACAAGAGTTTGATGAAAGAAATTGAAGAAGACACAAACGGAATGATATCCCATGTTCATGTATTAGAAGAATTAGTATTGTTTGAATGTCCATATTATCAATAGTCATCTATAGATTCAGTGCAACCCCTATCAAAATTCCAATGGCATTTTTCATAGAAATAGAAAAAACAATACTATAATTTGTATGGATCTACAAAAGAACCGCATAGTCAAAACAATCCTAAGAAAGAAGAACAAAGGTGGAGGTATCACATTTCCTGATTTCAAACCATACCACAAAGTTATAGAAATCAAAACAGTATGGTACTGGAAAAAAATAGACCAAAGAAACAGAATCAAGAGCCCAGAAATAAATTATTGCATATACAGTTGATCTTTGAACAATGCAAGGGTAAAGGGTGTCCCCAACCCCCTGCCTGGGCAGTTGAAAATTTGTGTATAACTTTGACTCCCCCAAACTTAACTACTAATAACAGCCTACTGTTGACTGGACACCTTACCAATAACATAAACAGTTGATTAATACACATTTGTATGTTATATGTATTATATACTTTGTCCTTACAATAAAGTAAGCTAGAGGGGGAAAAAGTTTTAAGAAAATCTAAGGAAGGGAAAATATATTTATGGTACTATGCTGTATTTATCAAAAAATAAGTCCACATATAAGTGGATCCACACAGTTCAAACCTGTGTTGTTCAAGGGTCAACTCTACAGCCAACTAATATTTGACATGGGAGCCAAGAATACTCAATGGGAAAAGGATAGTATCTTCAATAACTTGTATTGGGAAAAGTGGATAACCAGATGCAGAAGAATAAAATCAGACCCCTCTCTTACACCATTCACAAAATGAAATGGATTAAAGACTTAAACACAAGACCTGAAACCATAAAACTACTAGTAGATTCCATAGGGACAAATTTCTTGACATTAGTTTTAGCAGCAATATCCTAGATATGACAACAAATGCACAAGCAACTAAAGCAAAAAGAAATAAGTGGGACTACATCAAATTAAAAGACTTCTGCACAGCAAAAGAAATAATCAACAAAAGTAAAAGGCAACAAATGGAACGGGAGAAAATATTTGCAAATCATATATCTGTTAAAGGATTAATATCCAAATCCTATGAAGAATTCATGTAATTCAATAGCAAAAAACAAACAACCTGATTTTAAAATGGGTAGAGGAACCAAATAGACATTTTTCCAGAGAAGACATACAAATAGCCAAGAGGTATATGAAAAGGTGCTCATCATCACTAACCAGCAGGAAAATGCAACCCAGAATCTCAATGAGATATCACCTCACACCTGTTAGGATGGCTACCATCAAAAAGACAAGAAATAACAAGTGTTGGTGAGGATGTGGAGAAAAGAGAATCCTTGTGCACTGTTGTTTGGAATGTAAATTGGTGCAGCCACTATGGAAAACAGAATGGAGGTATCTAAAAAAAATTAAAAATAGAACTACCATATGATCCAGCAATTCCACTTCTGGATATACATCCAACAGAAATGAAAACAGGGTCACAAAGAGATATCTGCACCCTCAGGTTCATTGCAGCATTATTCACAAAAGCCAAGATATAGAAACGATCTACATGTCCATCAATGGATTCATGGACAAAAAAGACATGGTGTATATATAATGGAATATTATTCAGCCATGAGAAAGAAGAAAATATTGCCATTTTGACAACTTGGATGAACCTTGAGGACATGAAATAAGTCAGACAGAAAAAGACAAATGCTGTATGATATCACCTATATATGAAATCTGAAAAAGTCAAATTCAGATAAACAGAGAGTAGAGTGTTGGTTACCAGGGCCTGGATAAACCCTTTCCTCCACCCCAGTTCACTGACAGTTCCACAGAGCACAGAAGTAAGGAAATAGAAATGGCTGGCTGTAGAGTAAAGTCTCTGACTTTGGCCTTGGAGCCAGTAATGCAAAGGAGGGGCTTGAGGGGAGAGAGAAAGAGAGGGAGGGGGGAAAGGGAGAGAGAGGAGGGGAGAGGGAGGGACTGTGGTAGGGAGGGACAAGAGAGACAGAAAGAGAGAAGAGGGATGTCACTCACTGGGAAATAAGTAGCAACAGATTTTTGTCAGAAATAGAAGAAACAGATTTCTCTAGAATAGCATGGGTAAAGGACTCTGTTCTCAAATGTGGAGCAATCATCTCTGGGAGCTTACTGCAAATAGTAATAAGTGCTCTGACACAATAAA